CACAGAGGCCTGCAGCTCTTCTGTTTTATGAGCAGAGCGCTGAGAATCCGCTTGTTATGAGCGCTAAACGTTATTTTGCCGCTGCCGTGCGGAGCGGTAGGGAAACACGTTTCAAACACGGAACCGAGTCCGGCTACCGAACCGAGCAGAATTCTGATGACGTCACACCGGTGCACGAAGGTGGGGCTCCAACCCACAGGAGAGGAGGGAGAGAGGAGGTGAACAGCGAGTGGATCGACTGAACTGATGTTTTGGAGCAGAAGTGTACACCCCCCCCCCCCCACGGTTTAGACGCGGCGCTCATGCAGGTGTCTCTTTCTGTTCCAACTAGGGCTGCAGCTATCGAATATTTTTGTAATCGAGTACTCTATCGAATATTTTTTTCGATTAATCGAGTACTCTAATAAATTACCCTTTTGTATTTGTAAACCATTATATCAAATAGCATGTTATAATTATGAAAGACCTGTTAAAATGAGCAAGCAATTGCCAGTTATTCTTCAAGTTTTATTCAAAATTAGTTTTCAAAACTTCAGCACTTCAACTTTACTTCACAGTAAACAAATGGCTGTGCAAAAAATAAGTACACAACCTGAGCCGATTTTCCCCTCGTGCGAGAATCTACTAGCCTGCAAGCCAGACAGAAACTAGGAGGATAACTGTTGGAAGTAGCGCTGCGAGCGGCTGCGGCCCAAACAGAACCAGAACCGCTCACGGTGCATGCGCAAACAGCTCGCCGGCTGTTTCCCTATTAACACACGTCCGTTTTAATTTCAACACGTTTTTACTCACACAATAACAAGGATTGTCGAGAAAGCATGTTTGCTGTGGTTTTGTCAAATTATACTGATCACAAAACATTTATTTACTTTCTTTCGTTTTCCTCTCATAAATACCCATGTCCTCCTGCAGCAATCCCGAGGGACAACAAACATCAATAACACAATAAAAAGTCCGACGTTTTGTGTAAAAATGCTATTTTTTAGCACATTTTAAGTCCGACGTGTTGCTACCAGACGTACGGTGTGAGCTGAAACTGAGCGCTACAAACGAAAAAGTCGCACAGTGTCCGCAGAATATATAGAAATACAGGCTAAAATGCATTATCTTGTAGAGGCTCCGAGTCCGCTTGCAGAAGTGACATTTACAGGTGCTGCAGCATGGAGGATGTGGTGTTGTGCTAGGCTAAATCCATTTTACAGTATTTATACTGGAGTACGTTTTCCGCCTAACGACGTGAAAAATGGTCCCACATCTTGACATTTTCTGTCTTTTTCGCACTCCACCGGGGTCCACGTTGTCCGCCATGGCTTAAGAGAAAGTTAAGTTACATTCGCTACTCGCGTGTGCAGTCCAGTGGGCATGTGCGTCACTTATTTCAGTCCGGGTGAAACATGACCACGGGCGACTGCAAAGCCACGAATTAATTAAATATGAATTAAACGAATCCTCGAGGCAGAGAATTTGACTCGAGGATTTTTTGTACTCGAATTATTCGAGGTACTCGAGGAATCGTTTCAGCCCTAGTTCCAACGCTGCTTCACGTAATATTTGTAATTTGTTAAGCCTATAATTTATTTTTACTCAGTAACGGATGTGATTTAAAATGTAGCGAATTACAATTCTTTTTTAAAAACTTACTCAAGTAAAAGTAAAAGTACAGCTTTTAAAAACGACTTAAAAAGTATAAATATACAAAAAAGCTACTCAATTACAGTAACGTGAGTAAATGTAATCCGTTACTTTCCACCTCTATGTGTGTGTAAATATATGTGTGTGTGTGTGTGTGTGTATACATATAAGTGTGTGTGTGTGTTTGTGTACATATAAGTGTGTGTGTGTGTGTGTATACATATAAGTGTGTGTGTGTGTGTGTGTGTGTACATATAAGTGTGTGTGTGTGTGTGTATATACATATAAGAGTGTGTGTGCGTGTAGGAGTGTGTACACATGTGTGTGTGTGTTTGTACATATGTGAGTGTATACATATAAGTGTGTGTATACATATAGGTGTGTGTGTACATATAAGTGTGTGTGTGTGTGTGTATATACATATAAGAGTGTGTGTGCGTGTAGGAGTGTGTACACATGTGTGTGTGTGTTTGTACATATGTGAGTGTATACATATAAGTGTGTGTATACATATAGGTGTGTGTGTGTACATATAAGAGTGTGTGTGTGTGTACATATAAGTGTGTGTGTGTGTGTACATATAAGAGTGTGTGTGTGTGTGTACATATAGGTGTGTGTGTGTACATATAAGAGGGTGTGTGTGTGTACATATAAGTGTGTGTGTGTGTGTACATATAAGAGGGTGTGTGTGTGTACATATAAGTGTGTGTGTGTGTACATATAAGAGTGTGTGTGTGTGTGTACATATAAGAGGGTGTGTGTGTGTACATATAAGAGGGTGTGTGTGTGTACATATGTGTGTGTGTGTACATATAAGAGGGTGTGTGTGTGTACATATAAGTGTGTGTGTGTGTACATATAAGAGTGTGTGTGTGTGTGTACATATAAGAGTGTGTGTGTGTGTGTGTGTGTGTGTGTGTTCAGGCTTTCTGAACTAACGGGTCAGAAGCAGAGCAAAGTGATGACTCTTCTCTTTCATCACAAACAGTAAAATCCAGCCCGCTCCTGCTGATGAAGCCCAGGTGAGCGGGTCCACCTGCTGATCAGCTGACTGTGTGGCGAGGCTTTTGGGACTGATCTGATGAGAAGAACCAGGTTAGAACAGCTCCTACTACCTTCATGGGACAGGACTTCCTGTCTGCGCTCCGCTGAGCCGCGGCCTCGTAGCAGTAGGCCCTCCTCCGCCCTGGAGGCCAGTGCTGGGGCGCCAGCTTCTCCATGAAGTCCTCCAGAGGAACCACCCGGTGGTAGGCCACCAGGGCGTGCAGCTGGAAGAAGTGGCTGTAGGGGACATGGACCTGCGGAGGAGACATGCTGGTGGGTGCTGCTGCAGAAACAGAACCAGCCTGAACTGGACTCTGGACCAAAGCTCTGGCCGCTCCTGTTTGTACCCCACAATCCAGCAGATCTGACGTCATCGCTGCTTCCGGGGGTGCGTGTACTTACGTTGGTGTAGGGGGGGGTGTGGTGCCGGTAAACTATCCAGGGAGGGACCGCCAGGGTTCGGTTCAGCATCTTGGCGAACGCCAGAGCTCCCAGGAAGTGGTCCGCCTGGTTCCCGAAGCGACCTGAGCGACAGGATCCGAACCGGTCAGTTTGGACTTTTCTCTCCTTACAGCCACCTTTACCTGTCTGAACCCGTTTCTGGAGGACATTTTACACACATCCGGTTCCGTCTGAGTAAAGAAAAGTGACCCGGTGAGGAGTTACCCATGCAGGGGCAGTACAGCACGTAGCCGCGCTCATCCCACTCCAGCGGCTCGGTCCAAACGGCCCACAGCAGCAGCAGAGACACGGAACATCTCAGTCCGACCGGTCCTGGCCAACGCTGGTGAGCCGCCATCTTGGGTCCTCTTCTTCCTCTGCGGCTGCTTGTCAGCAGCGCGGCTGCCCCCTGCTGGTGGTCACCGGAAGCACATCCGTGACGTTTAATCCCGGAAGAGTTCAAAGTTTCTGCTTTCCAAACAAAAATCTCCCACCGGTTGTTCTGGTGGACAGCAGCAGCAGCTGAGGAGGCTCAGACTGTCCCGTACACGGAAGGTTGCAGGTTCAATCGCAGTTTCCACCAGAGAATTCTGCTGTTGTGTCCTTGAGCAAGACACTTAACCCATTCCTGCTGGTGGTGGACGGGTGGAGCCAGTGTCAGTCTGGCGGTGCGCCCCAGGGCAGCTGTGGCTACATGGTAGCTCATCCCCACCGGTGTGTGAGTGACTGACTGTGTTGTGAAGGGCCTTGGGGGGCTGCAGAACCCTGAGAAGACGATACACAAACACAGCTGTTCCTCTACAAATCTGGCAATAAGCATAGATTCACTAACTACAGACCGGGTTCCGTGTTATCTCAGTTTTCAACGAATTTGGAAAAAATAAATAATGAAAAGCTGGAAAAATGGGATTTATTTGGAAAGTCGGTTCAGATCAGGTGGAGCTCCTTCACAAGCTTTAATGGAACGGGTTGCAGACGTAACCACGACTCCTGATAGGAAAAGTATACTCAGGGAAGAAAGCCTTTGATACGGTCAGCCATAAAATACTTACATCAAAGATGGAGAAGTCTGGCTTAAGGGGCTAGCTCCTAACTGGCTGAAAAGTTATGAGTAACAGAGCACAGTATGTTCAGCCGGGTCATCACAAATCTAGGTGTCTCGACATTGACTGTGGTGTCCCACAAGGGTCGGTACTCGGCCCAAACTTATTTGTTTTATATATAAATGATATCTGCAGAGCCTCGGCTTTATTTAATTTATTGTGTTTGCTGATGATACGAATATTTTGTGTTCAGCAGAAGATAAACAGCAACTTGTGCAAACGATTCAGGAAGAGTTGAGCAAGCTAAAGAATTGGTTTGATAAAAACAAACTGTCGTTAAATGTCAGCAAAACCGAGTTTGTGACGTGGAAATGAAGGAAACGGAGGGGATTCATTTGATTATCAGTGAAATATTGAAGAGTGTATGAAACTTAAGTTTTTGGGGATCTTGACTGATCATAAGCGCTGTTGGAAGCCGTACATGGAGTATGTTTGTTCTAAATTAGCAAGAAGCATTGGGATAATAAATAAAGCAAGGCTTTCTTTACCTCGAAGCGTTACACACACGTTACTGTACGATGATTCTGCCATATTTATTATGTTGTGTAGAAGTTTAGGGCGATACTTATAAATCTAACTTATCAAAGGTCTGTGTACTTAAAACACACTGATGAGGATAAATACTGCGTCTGGATCTAGAGCTCAAACAACTCCATTGTTTTCTAAAGTCAGATGACTTAAATTTTTTGACTTAGTTAATTTTAAAACTGTCCCACAAACGGCCATGATGGGTGGACCGCTGAGTGATACAGCTACGAACGAAGGGCCGTTACGATTTTAGTTTTCCATTATACCAGAAACTCTGTGTGTGTGTGTGTGTGTGTATCTGTGTGTGTGTGTGTGTATCTGTGTGTGTGTGTGTGTGTGTGTGTATCTGTGTGTGTGTGTGTGTGTATCTGTGTGTGTGTGTGTGTGTGTGTGTGTATCTGTGTGTGTATGTGTGGTTGTGTGTGGTTATGTGTGTGGTTGTGTGTGTGTGTGTGTGTGTATCTGTGTGGTTGTGTGTGTGTGTATCTGTGTGTGTGTGTGTGTGTGTGTGTGTGTATCTGTGTGTGTATGTGTGGTTGTGTGTGGTTATGTGTGTGGTTGTGTGTGTGTGTGTGTGTGTGTGTGTGTGTGTGTGTGTGTGTGTGTGTGTGTGTGTGTGTGTGGTTGTGTGTGGTTATGTGTGTGTGTGTGTGTGTGTGTATGTGTGGTTGTGTGTGGTTATGTGTGTGTGTGTGTGTGTGTGTATCTGTGTGGTTGTGTGTGTGTGTATCTGTGTGTGTGTGTGTGTGTGTGTGTGTATCTGTGTGTGTATGTGTGGTTGTGTGTGGTTATGTGTGTGGTTGTGTGTGTGTGTGTGTGTGTATCTGTGTGTGTGTGTGTGTGTGTATCTGTGTGTGTGTGTGTGTGTGTGTGTGTGTATCTGTGTGTGTATGTGTGGTTGTGTGTGGTTATGTGTGTGGTTGTGTGTGTGTGTGTGTCTCAGGTCATGTAAAAACGTGCTATCATTAAAAATCACCATGAATAACGGGTATTTGACTCGTACATGAATAAAAAGTGACACATGTGGAAAGTCAAAGGTGTATTTTTTACTTGTGTTGTTTGTCCTCTGTGAGGATTTATGTGACTCTAGTTCTTGTGTTCCTGTACTCGTGTCACGACGTGATGGTAGAAGGACTCGTAGGGAGAGAAATAGTTTTGGTTGATGTGAGCAGTTAGGGTTAACTGGGACTAGATAGGCTTCTTCCATGTTGTTGCATATTTGTTTTTATATATATTTATATTTTTGTTTCCTTCTCAATTTGCATAATTTCTTTTTGCCATATTGCCTTTTTTATGTGTTAGGAACATGGAAGAGTACAAGTCAACAAGCTATTTGTTCCTTTAGAAGGGCGGATCAGACCCTGTGTGTTACTGGGGTTAGGGTTATGATTGGCTCAACTAAAGTCTCTTCAGTCACAAACAAACAAACAAACAAACAAAAGACATAGTGATCAGTTAAGCTTCACCCTCAGTGCGTCTTTACTAAAACATCATCTGATTTCATGACCTATGACCTCTCGAGTCGGAGAATCCTCATGAGCTGGTCCTCACACAGGTTCAGCTACATTTCAAACCTCTTTATTCCAAATATTTTATTGTTAGAAATGATCATTTCATTAAAGTATTAATAAACAAAAAAGCTCAAGGAAATAAAAGACACCAAACAAACGGGCGGGTGAACAGCTGCAGCTGATGAGGTGTACCTTCAGACAGCTCCTGTTCCCGTGTAAAAGATGTCTGATCACAAATCAGCGGTTGTTCCACCACAAGACTTAAATACATACGCCTGCTGAGTGTGTTCTGGTGCTGGTTTAGCTGCTGGACCAGCATCGTATACTGGTCCAGCAGCTAAACCAGCACCAGAACACAACACTTAAAAAGGAGTTGCACCACGTTCCCAAATGGAGAACACATGAAATGTGTTTGTCTGCTTGTGCTTTGAGCCAGTGGGTGGATGGCGGGTGTCATTATTTGTTCATCTAGAGACGTTCACATGTGTCGGAGTACGGTCTGAAACCTCCTCTGGGATGTGTGGATCCCTGCCAGCCGCCGTGTTTGGCTCAACCAGCTGATAATGACTTTAACGTGTCGCACTAAGGAGCTATCCAGAGACCGAGCGACGCCGGGCCAAGAGGGCCAATCAGGACGCAGCAAACACAAAACAGCCTGTTTCATTCTTAAAATCAAAGTCATAAACTTCCAGATCCGCAGAGGCTTTTACTCTGAAGGGTTCCTAATCCACCTGTGTCCTCCAACACACACACACACACACACACACACACACACACACTTGTCCAAGGCTTCTTGTCTCTGAGGCCTGAGAGCCGGCTGCTCTTTCCGTCTCTTCCTGGGTCGTTTGTGGCTCCTCCCCCATCGCTCCAACGCTGTTGTTCATGACCACAGTGAGAACGATGCCAAGAACCAAACATGGATGGAGGCAGGTCAGGAAAGGAAGAGGCTCTCCTTCAGGTGAACAATCACATCAACAAGAAAACAACCTGAGACTTTGTCGGTGATGCTTGAGATTTGTGTCCAGAGCGGTGAAGCTTTCATTTCCCTTTTCTGACTCTTAAGTTCCTCACAGAGGAACCATCAGCTCACGTAGCTGCAGAGGAAAGAGTTTCATTAGCAAATGTGCACACACGTGTCTCCACCCTCTTCTCTTGGTCACGGGGGGTCAACCCCAAAACCACCGCCCCCGCTGACCTTCTGAGTTGTTGACCTGCTTTCCAGTTCAGGTCTCTCACTGAACCCTGACCAAACATCAGTTTAAGGCTTCAAGTAAAAAGCAGGAAGCTGATTGTTCTACCCATCCATCCATTTTGGACAGCGTTCCCGGGTTTAGACCGGGGTTAGATGATAGACCAGAATCTCCTCAAAGCCGTACGGAAGTCTCGCTCCATGGTCTCATTGAACTCCTCTCATGCCTGGGTTTTTGCCTCGGTGGCCACCCGGGCCGCATTCAGCTGTCCCTGGAGTCCCATCAGCTGTCTCTGGAGTCTCCATCAGCTGTCCCTGGAGTCTCCATCAGCTGTCTCTGGAGTCTCCATCAGCTGTCCCTGGAGTCTCCATCAGCTGTCTCTGGAGTCTCCATCAGCTGTCTCTGGAGTCCCCATCAGCTGTCTCTGGAGTCTCCATCAGCTGTCCCTGGAGTCTCCATCAGCTGTCTCTGGAGTCTCCATCAGCTGTCTCTGGAGTCTCCATCAGCTGTCTCTGGAGTCTCCATCAGCTGTCTCTGGAGTCCCCATCAGCTGTCTCTGGAGTCCCATCAGCTGTCTCTGGAGTCCCCATCAGCTGTCTCTGGAGTCCCATCAGCTGTCTCTGGAGTCCCCATCAGCTGTCTCTGGAGTCCCCATCAGCTGTCTCTGGAGTCTCCATCAGCTGTCCCTGGAGTCTCCATCAGCTGTCTCTGGAGTCTCCATCAGCTGTCCCTGGAGTCTCCATCAGCTGTCTCTGGAGTCTCCATCAGCTGTCTCTGGAGTCCCCATCAGCTGTCTCTGGAGTCTCCATCAGCTGTCCCTGGAGTCTCCATCAGCTGTCTCTGGAGTCTCCATCAGCTGTCTCTGGAGTCTCCATCAGCTGTCTCTGGAGTCTCCATCAGCTGTCTCTGGAGTCCCCATCAGCTGTCTCTGGAGTCCCATCAGCTGTCTCTGGAGTCCCCATCAGCTGTCTCTGGAGTCCCATCAGCTGTCTCTGGAGTCCCCATCAGCTGTCTCTGGAGTCCCCATCAGCTGTCTCTGGAGTCCCATCAGCTGTCTCTGGAGTCCCATCAGCTGTCTCTGGAGTCCCATCAGCTGTCTCTGGAGTCCCATCAGCTGTCTCTAGAGTCTCCATCAGCTGTCTCTGGAGTCTCCATCAGCTGTCTCTGGAGTCCCCATCAGCTGTCTCTGGAGTCTCCATCAGCTGTCCCTGGAGTCTCCATCAGCTGTCTCTGGAGTCTCCATCAGCTGTCACTGGAGTCTCCATCAGCTGTCTCTGGAGTCCCCATCAGCTGTCTCTGGAGTCTCCATCAGCTGTCTCTGGAGTCTCCATCAGCTGTCTCTGGAGTCTCCATCAGCTGTCTCTGGAGTCTCCATCAGCTGTCTCTGGAGTCCCCATCAGCTGTCTCTGGAGTCCCATCAGCTGTCTCTGGAGTCCCATCAGCTGTCTCTAGAGTCCCCATCAGCTGTCTCTGGAGTCCCATCAGCTGTCTCTGGAGTCCCCATCAGCTGTCTCTGGAGTCCCCATCAGCTGTCTCTGGAGTCCCATCAGCTGTCTCTGGAGTCCCATCAGCTGTCTCTGGAGTCCCATCAGCTGTCTCTAGAGTCCCCATCAGCTGTCTCTGGAGTCCCATCAGCTGTCTCTGGAGTCTCCATCAGC